CCTTGATGTCAGATTCCAGTGAATTAAGGTGGTCCACCCATACCTGCAGAATTGGATAAGAGCATGTGGGTAACCGGGTGAAAAAATAATAGGGGTAACTACGTAAAAAAATAATGGCAAGGGAAGATGCCAGGGTGCCAAAAGTTCACCTGGAGGGTTTCTAATGGGGAGATCTTATTTCAAACGCGAGATTTTATATTTTATCTAACAAGTTTATTCTTTTCGAAATAGGCTTCAGATCATATCAATATTTCTAAAGGTATAATAAAAACAGAAAAGAGTGAGCCGATTTCTCGCCTTGCTCTCCTCCTTGAGTCTGTTGAGCTCGGTCTGCAGGTCCTCTATGGTGCGCCTTTGGTGGGTCCTAGCCAGCCTCTCCGTTTCCATCTCAGTTTGGAGGGAAGCCACAATGAACTTCTGGCTGGTCTGGACCTCCGCCACGGCCCCCAGCGCCTTGTTCAGAGAATCCGTGTGGGTTTGCAGAGACTCGACCACCTGCGGGGAGAAGTGGTATTTGCCGAAAGGTACCAAACAAGGGATTTTGCTTCTTCTTTTCCTCCGCCTGCCCCTCCTCATCTTCCCTCTCTCTCTTTCTCTCTTGCTCTCGCTCTCTCTCTCTCTCTCTCTCTCTCTCTCTCTCTCTCTCTCTCTCTCTCTCTCTCTCTCTTCCTCCCTCCTTCCTTTTCTCCTTCTCCTTCTACTTCTTCTTCTTCTCATTCTCATTCTTCACCTTCTTCTCCTCCTCCTCCTCCTCTTCCTCCTCCCTTTTCTTCCCCTCCCTCTTCCTGTCCCCCTTCCCGTTCATTATTTTTTTCCTGGGTAAAAGCTACATGATCGACTTACCTCCCCATGTTGCCGAAGGGCCTGCAACATTTGCTCCGTGTGCTCTCCAAACATTCCACCTCGAGGGATGTCTGTATAAAAAAAAAAAAAAAAAAAAAAAAAAAAAAAAAAAAAAAATTTGTCTCTGGGATATTTAACGCGACTTTTTCGATCACGGATATATATTTACCCTATACATTTAAACTTTACAAAAACCCCTCTGTTTTACCATAAATACTGAAGCTTCTAGTGCTAAGTCGTACGGTTAAAAGTACATAACATATAATATACATTACATACAAATAGTTCTTACGAAGGGATAAGGGTAGAGTGAGCCTATACCTCTGCACCGCCTGTTTCCGGCTGAGATGACTTCCTTGATCTCCCGAAGGACTTCGCTTATGCCTATCTCACAGGTGGGCTCTGCTGTTGCCGGAAGGAGCGCACATGCCGCCGTTACTATCACGACCGCTGCTGCCAGGAAGAGTCTCATGATCTCGAACAGAACTGGCCGTGATCTGCAGATCCTGTGGTTCTCTGGCAAACAGCGATTGTATTTTATAATCATGCTTTATGTTTCTTACTTTTGAAATTCTGGGAATCCAATGGGATTCTTAATCAACACATTAATACTAGATGTTGCATAATTGCATCATTTGGTGCATACCATACAATAGATATATCATTGGATATTAAACTGGGTCATATTCAAACCACCTATTTTGTATCAACTCTTACCTTATTAAGATCCATTCAGTTTAATATGTATCAGAACTTAAGTCAAAAAGGCCTAAAAAAATACTAATACAAAAAATCAAACCAAATCAAAACAACAACAAACTCCCACACCTGTTGCCGCGTGTCTGCAGCGTGAACACGGCGAGAATAGTACAAAGTTGACGAGGGGATGATAGCTAAGAGTCTCTGTTATCTATAGGCTACCTGCCACTTGATCTGAAGGAGGAGATACAGCTCAAGGATAAATGTAAGAGATGAAGTCCGACGGAAAGAGACCTTTGTTTACTGTCTGTGCTTGCTTAGAGATGAATGGGACCATTGCGAAAATATTATTGTTGATGTTACTATTATCATTCCTATTATCACCATAGTCTTTGTTATTATTATTGTTGTTATTATTATTACTATCATTAATAGTATTATCATTATCGTCATCATTATTATTAGCAGCAGCAATGTATAAACTTGCATTATAGCAGTACTTCCATGTAAATGAAAATTTCATCCTTTGCTATGAATATTTTTGTCACGTGTCTTCCTACACATTTTCGATGAATTCACAACGAAAAGGGAAAGGCGGTGAGGTCACTGAGCAAGATTATGCAAGATCCCTAAATAACCGGCTGTTCTTTGGAAACAACATAAAAAATATAGCTCATAAAAAAAATATCCTGTCCTTCATGATAAGACTTTGTAGTCAGTCATTCTGTAAATCCTTGAAATTATGATAATAGTGATATATTTCAAGATGCTTTATAACAGTACAATTATGAACATCAGGTAGGCATAATACCAAGGTATCTGTTCAGTAGTTGGGTAGTTGACAAATGTTCCAGCTTACGGAAGAAGGTCGTTCAGTAAAACAATACTGATATGCAAAGTGCTTCCCAAAACGATGAATGACAGAAGGCGTAAAAAAAAAAAATAATAATAATAATAAAAAAAATCACACACACACACACACACATACGCACACACACACACACACACACACACACACACACACACACACACACACACACACACACACACACATGCACACACAAAAACACACACACACACACATACACATACACATACACACACACACACACATACGCACACGCACACACATACACATACACATACACATACACACACAAACACACACACACACACACACACACACACACACACACACACACACACACACACACACACACACACACACACACACAGTGAGACAAGAGAACGGGGTAAGAAGGTGAAGTACCAGGAAGGACGTCAGAAGGGGAAGGATTCGGAGAACATTGTTGTGACAAAAAGGAATCACGTGAGCATCATGTGAGAACGGAAAGGAAAATGGGGAAGGTGCAGATGGAGAAGGGGAGGATAGGGTGTGTTGGGCGAGTGAGAGGGAAAGGGGTAGGGGGAACACAAGGAGGTGGATGAATGTAAGGGCAATGGGAGTAGAGGGAATTGGAGGGTCAGTGAGAGAGAGGGACGTTCTCATGGTCTTTTAAGTTTTGGATATCTTCAGGAATTTCTGAAAGAGAGTTCAGAAACGAGTGATTTTCTTCATCAAAAAAATATGCCGCATCAACGTCTAAGGTCATTAGCGGCGTATACAAAATACAGCGATAGGGTGGGGCATGGGGGGAGAAGCCCCCAAGTACGAGTATAGCATTATGATAAAGTATTGTGTCGATAAGGGTAGAAACGAGTTAAGTGGACAGAAGAAGGGGGTGAAGAAGAGACCATGCAAAATTAGTTGAGGCGAGGGCTGAGGTCCAAGTCATGGGCGATCCCCCCCCCCCCCCCCCACACGACAGTAACCAGCAAGGGATTGGGGAAGGGAGGTTCAAAAACGAAGGTTTTCCTAAGAAGCGGAAAAGAGAAGCCCGAGAAGCAGAGGAAGTGGTGAATGTAGTACAATGTGGTACGAGAAGACAGGCTGGAACGTTTAGATCGCCTGGTGCGACAAGCGAAGCGAGAGGGAGAGGCGGGCACCGGAGAAAAAAAAAAACTTGATTAGGAGAGGAAGTGGAAGTAGTGGTAAGATGGTAAGGGGTAGGGGGTGAGATGATGAGACATCTTAGGAAGAAAGGACAGGAACAGAACGAAGGAAAACGTAAGAAAAGTAGCGAGAGTAAACCTCGTTGGCGTGCTTTCTGTCCAGTTAATGGTTAATGGTTAAAAGCAAGATAAATGTGCTAGACATCTAAGGTCATGTAGCACTATAGTTAATGTTAGTGAAGGGTGGTTGAGTTAGTGATTAGTTGTCTAAGCTGGGCAAGGGAATTAGTGAGTGAAAGGGTTAAGGTCGGGTGTTATATTAGATAAAGGGTATGCATAAGAAAGGTTTCTTGAAGGCATACAATAGATGGGTTATAAGAGGAAAGGATATGATGGTCAGGTCTGTGGGAGCGGAAACCGCGAATATTCCAATGAAGGATAGTTATACTTTCGTTGATTTAGTGATATAGATTGTAGTACGTGTTGGAGAATTTGAAGGGGAAGCAGCTAGAGGGTGGGATAAGGACTGAGAGGTTTGAGATGGGAGAGGTGTGGGAGTTGGTGTTCTATCAGGAGGGGTATTAGGAGATGGAGGGTCTGAGGAAGGGGATACTTGTGACATAAGGGATTCACGTGTGTATCCAGGAGGGAGTGGAAGGGATAGCGGGGATGGTGGGAGAGTTAATGTGGGCAGGGTTGGGGTCAGGGGGGATGGGCTGTGTTGGGAGGGGGTAGGAGGGTAGGGTGTAGGGGGGATATCGTTAGGAGGAGGATGGATATCAGCAATTACTTGGAGTGTGGAAGGAGCAGGAGTTGTAGGTTGAGTGTCGGTTTTCATTAAGTAATCTTGAATATTTTCAATAGTTTCTTCTGTGGAGTTGGTTGGGGAGTTTTGGGGGATAAAGGATTTCTTGTGAGGGGGGGAAGAGAGGACTGGTGTCTCAAGAGTACGGGCAAAGGATGGTGGGGGTGATTGTGTGGTAGGGGAAGAGGGGGTGGAACGTTTGTTCTGTCTGTTACGGGGAGTGCGAGGAGGGAGAGGGGAAGGTGTTGGGGTTGTAGTGGTGATTGGAGTATCTGTAGTAGAGATTGGAGTTTCTGGATTTAGGATGGCAAAAGTTTGACTGGGGAAGGTAGGTGGGGTTAGTGGGGGGGTTAGATGTAGGAGGGGTGGGTTTAGGAGAAGTGTTAGAATGAGCAGTATTACTGGAGTAAGGAGTAAGAGAGAATCCACGTCGACGTGCTTCCTGTCTGGCTTCACGCAGTGTGAGTCCGAGTTTGAATCTGAGAGTTGCTACCTCAGATTCAAATTTGTAGGTGGGACAGCCCCTATAAAATACATTATGGGGGCCGCCACAGTTGGCACATGTGCGTGATTGTGCAGAGCAGTTAGATCGGGTATGGCCAGGTTGGGCACATAATGGGCATCTGGCTGTGGAACGGCAGTGTTTGGCTGGGTGTCCTAGACGCCAACAATTTTGGCACTGACGTGGAGGAGGTTGGTATGGACGAACAGGGAGGGATTCTCCTCCTATGTAGACGTTAAAGGGAAGGTCATGTCTACGGAAGGTAATTTTGGCTATGTTAGTGGGTTTCTTTCGATGACCTCTGGGGGGTATGGAATAGCATTGTACTGATGTTGCATCGTAGTCTGTGAGACAGGCAAGTAGATCTCCACAATCTGACCAATCTTTGTCATAGATTGGGCAATTTGTTGGTGAGATTGAGACTGTTCCGGTGCAAGTATTGAGGGTTGGATGGGGTTCTGCTAGGATGGTGTTACCATATAGGTCAGTTAGTTTTGTTAATGCTATGGCTTGGTTTTCGGATGTTACTGTTACAAGACGGGAGCGGTCGGGTCGGCTACGGAAAGAGATTTTACCTACTTGTTTTTGGAGGCATTGTTGGAAGAGAAGGGTGTTGTCAGAGTAGGGAGCTGTGGGAGGGATCACGAAAAATCGGTCCCATTTGGCTGCACTGAAGAGAGTATTCAAGATTGTTTTAGAGATAGGGGTGGTAGAAGGGCGAGGGCGTGACGAAGATGGAGTAGTGTTGATGGAGGTAGTGTTATGGAGAGGTGGGCTATAAGGCTGTAAGGTATTAATAAGGGAGGATGGGGTGGTTGATGTTGGAGGTTGTGGGGGTAGAGGTGTTGAAGTTGGGCATGCTGGGAGAGTGGAAATGTTCCTTGAGGGTTGATTGTTGGCTACTGTACTAGTAGGCATTGGTGAAGGGGTAGTTATTGCAGTGTTTGGAGCCGTGGTCAAAGGAGAGCCTGGGGTCGGGGAATCGGGTGGGTTTACTTCGTTGGGGCTATTTGATAAAGGGGCAAGCCTCATTGCCCCTAACAGTGGGGATATATTTTCATTACTGGCCATGGGAAGCCTGGATTATGTTGGGGATAAAAGCAGTCCACCCCTCAGGGTCCCCTTGAGGGGTAAGGGCTAGATAACTAAATCAGGGGAATACCGTGCCCATGGCTCCCTCAGGCCGTTCAGGACTGGCACAAAGTCAGCCTTTCATCCTTTCAGCACGGCTCTCACACCTTAGGAGGTGGATAGCAGAAGGGTTTGGTGAAGGGACAGAAACAAAAGTGGGAAGGAAAAAAAAAAGACCATGCATAATTAGTTGAGTCGAGGGCTGAGTCCCAAGGTTGGGGAGTTCCCCATCATTGGGTCCCAGTCTCCGCCTCCTAAGCCCCCCCCACGACAACAACGGGCAAGGGATTGGGGGGGGCTTTCTGTCCGGCCCGCGCGTAGAATAAGTTCTAGTTTGAATCTAAGAACTGCTACCTCAGACTCGAACTTGAATGGTTATGACCAGTTTAGGAACATACAGGACATCTTGCTGTGGAGCGACAGTGGCCAAAACGCCAACATTTCAATGACGGGGGAGGGGTCAATACTGTCGGACAGGGAAGGACTCTCCGCCAATATAATCTTCATAGGGATGTCATGTCTATGGAAGGTAATCTTGACAATATTGGTGGACTTTCGGCGTTGTCTGGGAGGAATAGTGTAGCACTGTACAGATACTGCATCATAGTTAACAAGGCAGGGAAGCCGGCCGTTTTCACATTTTGACCAATCCTCGCCGTAGAAGGGGCCAAGGCCCAAAGTAGCCCGACCGCGTATATACGATGACTTCACAAAAACACAAAATAATGTTGTACATGTTGTATTCTCCATTTTTTTTACCTGATGTGATAGAATTCAAATGACAAAATTAAAATAGGAAAGAAAGAAAGAAAAATATGGGGGGAAGTCCGTACCTTACTCCTTACTCCACATATGTGTGTGTGTGTGTGTGTGTGTGTGTGTGTGTGTGTGTGTGTGTGTGTGTGTGTGTGTGTGTGTGTGTGTGTGTGTGTGCGCGCGTATGTGTGCGTGAGTATGTGTGCGTGAGTATGTGTGCGTGCGTATGTGTGCGTGTGTATGTGTGCGTGTGCGTATGTATGTATGCCTGTATGTGTGCATGGGATAACAAAAGCATAAATAAAAATAGAAATTTATAAGCACATGTATAATGTTTTTTTCTAATAAAAAATTGATATAAGAATTACTAAGTTGGGTGTAAATATTTCAGATTATTAGCTTTTATGAAATTAATATCTAGATAGTACATTACAGTGGTACTTGAGAGCATGGTGTATTCAGTGCTGTTAATTCTAATAAGACACTTTATTTGTAAAAGAGGTGGAATATATACATATCTATATATATATATATATATATTTAATCACAGCATATTCTTTTTTTGTAAAGGTTTGTATTTGAATCTATAAAAGGACAAAAATATACTTTTTCATCAAAATAGAAGGTAATTAATATATAATTTTTATAGGGTTTCTTAGGCAAGTTGTAAAGTGTATCTGGATTTCTTTTTTCAACATTGAGTTGCACACATGTTGTTAGCATTTTTTTGTGTGAAAAGGAAAATTATATAAATACCTAAAAATAAATAAATTAGCAAATTATAATAGTTTGCATTACAAGTCATGTGAAAAACTGACAGAAATCTATGAAGATACATTCATATGTAGAAAACTGCACCTACCTCTATATGATCTACTTAATGTCTGCTCAATGCAGAATTTTAAGATGGATATGAAAATATTCTTTCTTTCAGTAATATTTGTAAGTCAATTATCTGCTGCATCCACTCTGCCATGATATACCTTATACCAAAATACCCAGTCAGATGAGCTAATTTACATATCTTGTCATCAATTGCCATTTGCTAGATTCAAACCAGTAATTTCATGATGAACTGACCGGTTAGTCAAATATGGGGGCTAGTAAAAATTAATCTCTACATCAGTGAAAATTTGGAGAAGCGATTTCAAATGTTGAAAACCTTGCGATTCACACATACAACAATGTAAACAAAATACTACTGCTAACTGAAACCTAGAGGCAATCATGTATGGAGACAAAGATATGGTAAAGAAAATCATCACAACTATCATATGGCCTACTCTACAGTTCCTTTCAAATCATGGAAAGTTTCTACTTACACAAGGAAATTGATAATATGGAATGTTTGAATTAAGAACCGCCAAATGAACTTCAAAGAAATGTTAAAAAAGTTAAAGCTAACAATAGAAGACAGGTTATGTTTAAAAATCATGACTTGGGAACAATTATGTAAAAGAAAGAAAAAAATTATATTTTAAATTAAAGAGGAACAAGAAGAGAGAATTAAAAGGTTTACATTAAAAATGCTGTGGTATGTATGAAGAGAACTGCAGTTTCCTAAGAGAACTACTTCTGAATGAACAATGCACCCCCCTCCAAACACACACACACACAAGCACAAGCACATACTTCTCCATACTTGCATCCATATAAATCAATAAATGTAAGACCACACTGTAACAATAGAAAGTGAACATTTAATCCTTATAAATATGCAAAGGAAATAAAAAATAATATTTCTTTTTCCATTTCATTGTTTTTCATCATAAAAGTAACATAACTTAATCTCTTACAACACAATTCCCTTATTTGATTTGCAAAGATAATTAGAGAAGTGGTTCAATATAAATAAGATTTCAGACATAAAAAGGACATTTCTCTGTTCATTAAGTGGTATTAGATAATCTTTGCATTCTTAGTTATTTCCCCAATTGCTGTAATTAAAGAAATCCAGGCCAGTTCATTACTTCACATAATTACAAATAATCCAGCTATATATATTAAAATGATCAGTAAATGATTCAAGAATTATTACATTCTCCTGCTGAAGACAAACATCACTGAGTTGAGATTTTATTGATTTAACCAAAAAAAGGAACATTTTCATTACACAAGTCAGTACCTTGCATTGTCTATTCAGCCACAGACATTTAAAATGCTTAGTACAATACTTGAAAGGTATAAAAAGTCAACTATAATAATCTGACTCATGTAACATATATAGACTTGGGGTCTAACATACTGAGAAAGACTATACTTAACTGGAAAAATGCTTCTTTTTAAGCTTCACTTACAAGTTTTACAAACACTGTAACTTGATGCACAAAGGTGAACCATGATTCAGTAGATGTTTCTATCTTTGCAATGTTAAGGCTCGCACTACACTGTCTTATCATTGAATTATCCTATTCATGTCACCACCCGAAATTCCTGGATGTTCTGGACTGTGTTTTTGTTTCTTCTTCTTCTTCTCTTTCTTTTTCTTTTTCTTTTCCCTCTCCTCGTCATTCTTCTTTTTCTTGTGCTTTTTCTCGTGCATATCCGACCCGTCTGCAGAGCCATCTTGTGTTGGCGTTTCCCCTGCCTTGAATTTGTGCTTCTTGTGTTTTTTATGTTTCCGCTGGCCTGGAGGCTGGTTCATGAAGCGATACTGTTCTGGAAGTGGGCCTGCATGTAGGCGGAATGCAGCAAGCTGGAAACAAATACATCTGATAGTTATCTCAAACCAGTCAAACAAGTCTTACACTAATTCAGGTTAGTTCACTACTTTATTTTGATTTGTTTAATCTATTTATTTATTTAATTTTCTTCTAATAAGAATGTCCCTGATTATGCAGAATATGCTGATTACATTAGCTATCTTCTTAACAGATTTCCTGGCCTTAATAACTATATTTTAGCAAGGAAAACTATAACAATTTCTTTCCTCTTGGCTATGGCTAAAGGACCCTCATGAAAATATTGCCATCAAACTATCTTAATGTTTACCGTACCCATTCAAAGCTAATTTGCATACAAGTAAAGAGGGTAAAGGGACATGATCCCCACCCCGAAATTTGAACTCTGCGTGGCAATAAGTGAATAATACATGCAAGAACACAAAAAGCATGTGGTACTGATATATACACTGAATGAAAATCACCAAGCCATTATTTTGGTGACTTGACTCTCCTATCTTTAGGTGCCTTATAAATATATCACAAAAAAAAAGAAGAAAGAAAGAAAGAAAGAAAGAAAGAAAGAAAAATCAATCAATCTTCCATCCCTCTCTTATGATTCAGGTAATATGCCCCTCACATCATTAAATAATTTGGCTTGAAGGCTAACATGAACATACTGTCGGAGAAAAATTCGGCCATCAACAGAATTTCGACTGAAGGCCAGGGTGATGGGATTGACTCGCCAAAAGTGCACAAAGCTCTCATGGAGGGTGGTCAGACTCAGTGGCGATTGGGAAGGGGCTCTTGCTTTATTCCTACTGGTAATCAAGTGTGGATTGTACCATCCATCAGTCATAACTGGAAGAGCGCTGGCTCCAGGGAGGACCCTATTTCCATGCTCAGGATCCTATTCCTGGCCATCATGACCGGTGGTGCGGATTGTATTACAGAAAATTTAATATCATATATTTTTTTTTAATGACACAAATAACAAACCATTACTTATTGTTGTCACTGGTTATGACAAATATTGATATTAGAAAATGGCAAATGAGCAGAACACACTTATTTAAAAAAGGACAAAAGGGGAGGCAGAATCTTGTCAGCACAAGTCTTTATTTGAGCCTGGCCTACAAGCTACATATCTGTGAGAATAGCCACTAAGTAACCCTATCCAAGAGCTTAACCCCTATCCAAGAGGTGTCATGTATACGTGACATGCTCACAGTGAGTTTACTTGTTTAATTGTTTTTACACATAGATGGCTATGCTTGTTGTACTGGCTGTCTCGCCCGTTTACCCTTTTCTTTAATTCACGAAAATATTTTATATTATCTTATTTTCCTACTAATTTTGTTACTAATGTTTATAACATTATAGTAATTATAATGTTCATAATAAAAATAACCTTCGACATTCATAGCACTAGTAAAAAAAATACATTTTCCTGCCAAATGAAATCAGGTAAGGCAGAGCCATCTATGTGAAGAGACATTTCGCAAAAAGCATAAAAAATGAGCACGGCATTTTCCCCATTTTTTTGTTAATCTTTACCCGTCGCGAATGGCTTAAAGACAATCCCAACACATACAGCAACACAAGTCTAAATTAAAAGTCAAAATTTGAGGAATTACCTGGTGGTGATTGAGCAAAGTGAATTCCTTGAAAACCGGTGGCTTCTCGATGAGTGACTGGAGTGAGGAATTGGTGAGGTGAGCAGGAGTGTCTATGATTCCTGGGAGCGTTGGCAGGAAGGATGATAAGGAATCTCTCACCTGGAGAAGAGGGCGTTAAAAGGATCAGACACACTAAATTTGTCTTTCTTCCATCCACATAAGGTATAATAAAAACAAATAATTTTACATATTTTAACACTTTTCAAAATATAAAAAACCTGGTTAATCCTTACAGTATGGATACACTATGCTAGGGCAAATTGAAGATGATTTTCTTAAAAGAGAACAAAAAGTTGTATTCCCCAGTACAAGAAATTATCTGCAGACATGAATGATAATGCCTTACATAAAGGAAAAAGATTATGGAAAGTACTGTTAAGAGTCCATGCCTTGCTCTATCTTGCAGTACATACAAAGGTGAAGACTATTTACTGGGGAGTTGTTGTTGTTGTTGTTGTTGGACCAGTCAGAGCAACTTAAAGTGAACGAAAAAGAAAAAGAAAAAGAAAAAGAAAAAGAAAAAGAAAAAGAAAAGAAAGAAAAAAGTGAAAAAGTGTTGGGGAGTAAGTCTCTGGGGAGTGTATCCATATTGTAGAGAATTTCCAAAGAACCTATATATGAAATATAAAAGTGTTTTCTACAGTATTCCATTCTACATTCTCCAAAAAATGAATTTACACTACATTTGATTCACTATTTTCTTTTAAACACGGGATGATAATTTACTCCTACTCTGTGTTTTCCTGTTCTCCTAAGGGAATCAAAGTCATTAATAACAACACTAAAGATTCAATACAACAGATAACAATCCATAGCAGCCTAAATTCCACATTCTTGTTCTTAACAAAGGATAAAAATTCAAATTCCTTCACAATCAAAATATCTTCACATGACCGATCATGACAACAATGGCATCGATGGATTCCTCTCACTCTCTACTACCAATTAAGCTAAGGAAAAAACCCTCACCCCAAAGCCCCCTTAATCCAAACAGCGGGGGAGGGTATGAATGGCACCAAGGAAATTACTGGGCAAAAATAAAAAATATACAGAGAACTGGTCATTATATAATTAAATGTAGTGGGTTGGGCCTTCCATATCCTTCCCTTCTTACTGGGGGTTTGGGGGATTCCAAAGCAAATGTCCTGCATGGATGGTTGGTAGGAGTTCTGAGGAATCCACTGATACCACTATCATTGTGAACTGTCATGCAAAAGTTATCAAAACAATTACATAACAAAGTAAGCATCTTTCCAGATCTTTCTAGATCTGGAAAGGGAGAGGGAGAGAGAGAGGGAGAGAGGGAGAGAGAGAGAGGGAGAGAGAGAGAGGGAGAGAGAGAGAGGGAGAGAGAGAGAGGGAGAGGGAGAGAGAGAGAGGGAGAGAGAGAGAGGGAGAGAGAGAGAGGGAGAGAGAGAGAGGGAGAGAGAGAGAGGGAGAGAGAGAGAGGGAGAGAGAGAGAGGGAGAGAGAGAGAGGGAGAGAGAGAGAGGGAGAGAGAGAGAGGGAGAGAGAGAGAGAGAGAGAGAGAGAGAGAGGGAGAGGGAGAGGGAGGGAGAGAGGGAGGGAGAGAGGGAGGGAGAGAGGGAGGGAGGAAGGGAGAGAAGGAGGGAGGGAGAGAAGGAGGGAGGGAGAGAAGGAGGGAGGGAGAGAAGGAGGGAGGGAGAGAAGGAGGGAGGGAGAGAGGGAGGGAGGGAGAGAGGGAGGGAGGGAGGGAGAGAGGGAGGGAGAGAGGGAGAGAGTGAGGGAGGGAAGGGGAATGTGAGGGGGGAGGAGGAGGAGGAGGAGGAGGAAGAGGAGGAAGAGGAGGAAGAGGAGGAAGAGGAGGAAGAGGAGGAAGAGGAGGAAGAGGAAGAGGAGGAAGAGGAGGAGGAGGAGAGAGAGATACTAACAACTCTTGCTCTAATTCTAAAACAACCACAAAGACATATTTACACTTGCCTTCTTGCCTGTGAATTTGTTGTACGAATGCTCCAAGTTAAAGTGCTGCATCAGGTTGGTAGCACCTGTGAGCTCATTCTCTGTAGCTGGGTCCTGCAATTAAAATAGGAATAAATTAGATAACATAATAATCATGAATATCCTTCTAAATCTTTCCTTTTATTGTTTTTTTAAAGTTAGCAATTACTAAAGAATTAATCATACTAATATTACAGCTTTCTCACCAAATCCTTAAAAAAAACTATTGTTTAATCCTTGTGAAAAGTCTCATTATCATTTTGTTAAAAAAGACTAACTTGCACCAAATAAATGTGGGTGGCATGACATTTACGCCATGTCCAGTGTAATTTTGGTTTATTTATCAAGTTTACACAGAGATGGCCCCAACACATCTCACTTTTTTTTATATTTGGATAGATACCATTTTGCTATTTCTATTATTCTTAGTACCTTAATAACATCATCATAATCATAAAACCAAGAACTACTAAAATCAATAACAATAGAAAAAAAAAAAAAAAAAAAAAATCAAGGAAAGGGAACGCCTGAGCACTTGTAAAGCCATCAACAAAACCTAGTGGACAGAACATAAATCCGTTGGCAATTGTTCAGAATATCTTTGCATGACTGTTTGCAATGATATTGATGGATTCCTCTAATCATCTACTACTCATATATGTAGGACATTTGCTGTGGAACCTTCCCAAAACCTGTCCATTCTTGGCCCTGATGTCATGAAAGGTACCAGGAAAACTTAAGGGTTAAATATAAATACTATACACAAAACATATCACTATAATAATATGCACAGAATAAGTCACTATACTGTCTAATGGTGGGAGCTGTGCCCCTAAGACCACTTGGGAGGCTACTACTCCCTAATCCCTGTCCTTGAAGAAAAAGAATTCTCCATGCATTAACCCATTTCCGACGGGCATGTCATACCATGCCCACTGTGAGTTTACTTGTTTGATGGCTTTTACACATAGATGGCTACACTTGTACTAAATCACCAATGAGCCAGTTACGAGCCTGTCTCACTTGTTCACCCTTTTCTTTAATATTCGAAAATATTTTACGTCATCTTATTTTGCCATTACGAATGTTTATAACATTATAGCAATTATAATGCTTATAATAAAAACACCATCGATATTCATAGTACTAGTAAAAAATACATTTTCCCGCCAATTCAAGGAAAGGTGAAATCAGCTAAGGCAGAGCCATCTATGTGTAGAGACGCTTCGGCAAATGGGTTAACAGCAGGATAAGAGCGTATGACCACATGCAGGAGCTCCTGATGCCGAGTCCGTCCTACGCTTTATCCTGCTGTATATGTGTATTGGATTCATTGTTGTCAAGGGTGAGGGTTGTGGGACAGTAGCCCTCCTTTAGGGGGGGGGGGGGGGGTCTTGTACTCTATTCATATTCTACCTAAAATTTCCCCGGCACCATTCATGCCTTCCGCTGCCATTGGGGACAAGATTTGGGCATTGGGGTGTTGGTTCCACAGCATAATTTCTCTACATGTAAGAGTAGTTGTCGTCGACTATAGTTGTGATCAGTCATATGAAGTTATTCAGAATATTTACTATTTAGTTTACATATAGCAGGATATAGCAGCTCTAAGTCATCAATGAGGCAGTTATTAGACTTATCTTACCTCACCCTATTCTTTGAAAATCCATGATGGAGAGTTTATATTTTCGGTAATTTTTCAGAATACCTTCGCATAACTGATCGTGATGATTTTGGTATCAATGCATTCCTCTCACTCTCCGTTACCTAAATATATAGAAAGTGTGCTGCGAAAAAAAACCCATTAGCGAAAATTAACAGGGGTGGCCATGAAAGGAACCAGGGAAATTGCAGGGTAAAATAGAAATAATCTACATTGAATGAGCCACTATATGTCTAATGCAGGGTGCTGTGCCTCCTACAACCACCCCCAAGTCCTGCCCAGGAAGAATCCCCTACCTATTCATAGCAGAGCAGAGCATACAACCTACATGCAGGGGCGTCTCATGCCGAGTATGTTCGACGCTCTTTCTTGCAGTGAATATGTGGAGGATTCTTTGTTTTCTTAGGGTGGGTGATGGGGTTGGCAACCACTACTGGGGGTATATTACAGGACAATAAAATGGCTGATTCTGTGCATATTATTCATTTTTTACACCACAATTTCCCTTGGTACCTTTCTTGCTCTCCCCTGCTATTGGGGCTAAAAATGTCAGGTCTGGGGGGTTTACAGTGTAATTCCTACATATATGTCTAGCACACAGTGAAAGGAAAACATTGATACCAAAATCGTCCTGATTGGTTATATGACGGTATTCACAGAAATTACCCTATTTTCAATACCTTCCTTATTTTTGATAATGTTACAATGATAATAATGACACTAATTCTCAAGCAATAACATTCCAAAATCACCCTGCACCTATTTTCTATTTTTACTGGAAAATACGACCTCCATTTGAAAAATACCTGCTTCTGTGCTACGAGTCACAACAGCAACTGTCTGTTACTACGAACGTGCTTGTGAGGCACAGCAGCAACTGACCCAATTGGAACGTAAGCCAAGAACACAAGTATCTCGCACGGCCTACATTCAAAATCAGAAGCAAATTTGTCCTGATGCAATAGTGTTTGATAATTTAGCTCGTATAATCACAAACTCTATCTTTCCAGCTTATGTGCGGCTTAGGTTTACTAGCTTTTGTTAGAGTGTGGAGTTTACAATCCATTCATCACTCGCTAGGGTGCTTTTCTGGAAAATTACTAGATATAACAAAAAGAGCAAAAAATCTTGTGTTCTCTAAAAGCCTAATTTTGTGAAGCTGGGCACCAGAGGATACATGCAACACATTCCAGGAAAGATAATACAGGATTCCAAATTTTGATCTCCTACCTACAGCAAATAATAAAAAAAAAGCAACTCCAACAAGAAATCCTACAGCAACTCCTACAACAAATCCTACAGCAATTGCAAGAAGAAATCCTACAACAAATCCTACAGCAAATCCTACAAGAAAACCAGCTGCATTAAGTACACCCCACTCCCCCCCGCGACCCAAAAATAAAAAAAACCCTCCAGCGACTTAAAAATCCCCGAACCTTCATCAAGTAGAAGGGCCCTGAATGGACGACCGCGGGGTGCTTCCCAGCCGAGATCGTCATCTTCAAGGTCCCCGTGGAGTCATTTCTCGAAAGGTTCGGCGTGGCCATGGGGGACCTGGAACCGCGAGGCGACGACTTGGGTGAAAAGGAGGCGTCCACTTTCCTCGTTAAGTCGTTCATGTCGTCGCCTTCCTCGGCCTCTGCCTCTGCCGCCGACCCCCACCCCCCCGTCGCTCTCAGGGAATTTTATCTTGTTTTTTTTGGGGGGGAGGGGGGAGGATGAGTGGCTATTAAGGGCTCGGGGTTCGCATAGAGTATGTTGATACAATTGTAGAAATAACTGCAAAAGAACTTAATTGTAAAATTATCTGTAAAAGAATTGAGATATAAATAACAAAATTTAAAATTTACATATGATGCTGTGTACATATTCTACGAGGGAAAAATATTTTTACCGTTATTCTATCAATATTATCTGTAATTAAGCACTCTGTATACAGCATATAACAATATGAAAAGCAATTTAGTCAAAATGGCCTATGTAAAGGCAAAAGAAAATACTTGAAGTTAAAAGTCCTGATTTCCAGCCTGCGCTTTCTCTGTTTATTGTTGTCAGACGTCAAGGCGAAAGAGAAACTCAACAGTTGCCAGTTAGTGTTATAAATCCCAACAGCCAGCGCCATCTACTTTATGATTTTTGCATTCCTTTGTATCGAGAGTCTAGTTTGTTTGTAATGTCTCGGCTGATTATCCAGTCATCCCATGGTCAGGCATGTAAACTATATAACTATATATATATATATATATATATATATATATATATATATATATATATATATATATACACACACACACACACACACACACACACACACACACACACACACACACACACACACACACACACACACACACACACACACACACACACACACACACACATACACACACACACACACACATATATATATATATATATATATGTATATATATATATATATATATATATATATATATATATATATATATATATATATATTATTTTGTCTGATGCACTTCGGTTAGAAAATCTAAAGCTTTTTAAACTCACATACTATTTAATCTTCTCTCTCTCTCTCTCTCTCTCTGTCTCTGTCTCTGTCTCTCTCTTTTGTGTGCGAGCGTGTGTAATTTCCTACTCGTTTTCTTGGATAGTAAAAATAATAAAATAGTTAATGCGCTAAATTGTCACCTTTTCTTTCATAAACTTTGGTTTCGTTTTCTGTAGATAAGGATGTGGGAAACTACTCTATTTTTACTTCTCATTTATTTTATATATGTTTTATATGTTATATGTTTTATATGTTATAGATATTTTACCCTCCGCTCTTTTCTGTTCGTCGCGCCTTTTTCTTTTCTTTCTGTTGCTCTAAGGCAGTGGTTCTTAACCTGGAGGCGCGGTGTATTAGGCATAGCTTCAGCATTTTCCAAAGCCCTTTTACAAACCCTTGGAAAAAAGGCAGTAATATCCCTTATTATCTTTGTTATTCTCTTAACGAGAGCACATAATAGAAAGTTTAATTATAATGCCACTAATCTATACTCATTAAATAGAGTAACAAAACGTACTTGTAATTTTCTTTAAAATCTGCGAGGGAATTTGATTTACAGATGCAAGGGAGGAGTAAGGGAGGGAGAAATTCCTAAAGGGGGGGGGGGGTGATAGTTAAAAGGTTAAGAACCACTGCTCTAAGGTCTTCATTGATGCAATCTTCCTATCTTCTCTTTGGTCTGCCCTTCTTTTTCTTCCCTACATAACCCTCGTCTCTCCTCACTATGTGCCCTAGCTATCTTAGCCTCGTTTCTCTCAACTTAATACTCATTTCTTCAACTGCGACTTCCTTTCGTATCATTTCGTTCCTGATTTTGTCTAACCTTGTCTTTCCTAGCGAGTACCTTAGTATTCTCATCTCCGTTACCTTTCTATTTTTTCTCTCCTGTTTTTTTTTTTTTTTTTTTTTTTTTTTTTTTTTTTTTTGTCACTCCCACCGTCTCCATTTCATATAACATCGCCGGTCTTACTGCCGTTTTGTACCGCTTTTCCATAGCCACTCTCCACTCTTCCAATCTAGCTTCCACCTCTTCCTTCGTTTCACTTCCTTCGTCTCAACACATCATCGGTAAACAACATATCCCATAGGGATTCATTTTGCACACTGCCCGTTAAAGTCTATCCAATGGCAAACAGGAATGGGCTGATTGTTGACCCCCGGTGTAAACCAACAGTAACTTCGAAATCATCTGAGGTTCCGCTGCACATCGCACCCTCGTTGAGGCGAATATATTTTCACCCGCCTCTTTCATTCGTAACAGTTTCAAACGTCCACTCTGGGCACCCCGTAGAAGGCTTTCTCAATCTATGAACACACAATACAGCTCTTTCTGGCCTTCTCTGTATTTCTCCACTAGTTGACGCTATGCAAAAAATGGCGTCGGTGGCACACCTGCCGGGCATAAAACCAAACTGTTGTTCCGATATTGACACCTTTTCGCTCACAGTCACCTGTCTGTGATTCTTTCTCAGATCTTCAAGGTATGTGAAGTTCAGTTTGATTACTCTATAATTGCTACAATCCTGTATGGCCCCTTCGTTCTTAGATATATGGATCAATGTGCTGCTTCTCCATTCTTCTAGCATTTCTTCCTTTTCCAAAACATTTGTGAACACCTCTGTCAAGCAGTCGGTCCCATTGCTGCCAAAGACTTCCCATGCCTCTACTGGTGTGTTGTCTGGACCTACTGCTTTTCCACACTTCATCTTTTGCAATGCTTTTACCACTTCCACTTCCGTGATCTTTTCCACATGTGTATCTCCTCTTGATGGTACTGTTCTCTCTACTCTCTTATTTTCCACATTCATGAGCTGATTGAAATAGGATCTCCATCTCTCCTTTATTTCCTTGTCCTTTGTCAGTATTTGGCCCTCACCATCTTCCACCTGTTTTGCTTGGTGCACCACTCGAGACTCTTTGCTTCTCTGCTTCGCTCTCCTTATTGCTTTTCTCAGACCATCCTTTTCTTCCAGGCGGGAGAATTTAGGAATCTTATATGCCCTTCATTTCGAATCGTCTTGCTTCACAATCATTAAAAAACATCGCAAGTTGACTTTTTTTCCCTTTTCTTCTATATAAATGATTTCTGACTAGCGAATACCTAACAGAAATAGTCAGTCTTTATATTATTTGATTAATAAGTCCTTTAACGATATCCAGATAATGATAAACTTAGATAGCAATTTCTCGCACTACATCTTATCTAATATAATTTATAAATATGTCCTGATGCAGAAAATGAAATATAATGCGATTAATTAAGAGCCGCAGAAAATTTGAGGGGAAAGGAGAGGCATGATGGAAAGAGATAAGAGAGCTCTGCATCACGAAAGATACATTTGATCGAAACAATTAATTTCTTAATCTCGATTTATATCTTCTGAAAAAAGTAAGGTAAAGTAAATTAAATAAAGTAAAATTGCAATTATATGAAAGAAAAATACAGATAAAGGAAAGAGAGAGAGAGAAAATGAAACAAATTACGAACCGCGGTTGTTTAAGGAAGTCGTCCAGTCAGGCAAGGGTGGCACGGTGGAATGAATGGCGTCTGTGTGTATGTTTGTATCAATATGTGTTTATATATGTATAATGTATATATATATATATATATATATATATATATATATATATATATATATATATATATATATACACACTCACACACACACATACACACACACGAGCGCGCACGCACACACACATACACACACACGAGCGCACACAAACACACAAAGACACACGCATATCGTCTTAGAGGGGTTCAGACAAGATATTTTCTTTTAACAGCCAATCATTCCGCTGCAAGACATAGGCCTCTCTCAATTCACTATTGAGAGGTTATATGACAGTGTCACCCTTGCCTGATTGGATGCCCTTCCTAATCAACCGCGGTTCGGCGCGCTAACACTAGTGCCACGGCGATGACTTCCCTACGACACCTGCGTTTGACTACTCAAGGCGATATGTCGTTTTCTCGGGCTCGAGCCAGCAGTCAGATCGCAGGCATTTTTACGACCGCCGCGGCGGGGAATTGAAGTCGGGACCACGAGGGCCGACTTCAATTCTCCGCCGCGGCGGGGAGCATCGTGGCAGTCAGATAAGATATATATATGTATATATATATATATATATATATATATATATATATATATATATATATATATGTATACATATATGTGTGTGTGTGCATGTGTGTATTATTTTTTTACATGTCCTTTTTCTTTTTTTTTGTGCCGTATCAGAGCCTGACGTTGGCGACCATGTTGCATGGTTGTACAAGGGAGTGTACGAAGGTGGTTTCCCGTTGCCTTCCTTCGGGTGATTGAAGAGTTCACTATCTCTCTTACCAGTGGATCCTCTGCTTGCATTTCTACAACCATTGTTTTATATAAATAATTTAATGTCCGCAATTCCATCGAAACGGAGTGGAAGACAATTATATAAATGTATGTACACACACATACACACACACTTGCCTGATTGGATGCCCTTCCTAATCAACTGCGGTTCGACGCGCTAACAGTGGTGCCACGGCGGTGACTTTCCCTACGACTTCTCAAGGCGATATGTCGTTTTCTCGGGCTCGAGCGCAGGCATTTTTGCGACCGCCAGGATGGAGATTTGAACTCGGGACTACGGTGGTCGGAGTCCAGTGCTCTAACCACTGGATCATCGCGGCAATCATATATATATATATATACACATACATATGTATACATGATAGACATATCTATATATATATATATATATATATATATATATATATATATATATATATATATATATATATACATATATACATAGATATATATGACATGCATACATATGTGTATATATATATACATATATATATATGTATGTATATATAATATACATACATATATATATATACACATATGTATGCATATCATATATATCTATGTATTTATGTATATATATAAATATTTATATCATATATATATGTATGTATATCATATATGTATATATATATATATATATATATATATATATATATACATAGATATATATGATATGCATACATATGTGTATATATATATATGTATGTATATTATATATACATACATATAAATATGTATATCATATATATATATATATGTATGTATATTATATATATATATATATATATATATATATATATATATATATATATATATATATATATATATATATGATATACATACATGTATATATATGATATACATATTTATATATATATATACATATATACATAGATATATATGGTATGCATACATATGTGTATATATGTATACATACATATATATATGTATGTATATATAATATACATATATATATATGTATATATATATATATATGACTGCCGCGATAGTCCAGTGGGTAGAGCACTGGACTTCGACTCTCCTGGTCTCGAGTTCAATTCCCCGTCGCGGCGGTTGTAAAAATGCTTGCGATCCGACTGCTGGCTCGAGTCCGATCTCACGGCGAGAAAACGACATATCGCCTTAAGAGGTCAAATGCAGGTGTCGTAGGGGCACAGCTGTTAAGCACACCGAACAGCGGTTGATTAGGAAGGGCATCCAATCAGGTGATCGTGGTGCAGAGGCAGCACAATCAGCGGAAGAACTACGACGCCAAAAGACAGTGGTTGCAGAATATATTGACTACTTCCATATATTCATTCATATCATCACATTGAATTAACCCGTACACAGATTCGCTGTGCCGCTGACAACCATCGCCATGACTCGAGGAAACTGGCGGACGACCTTGTTCACTGCTCAGCTATACTTAAGCAGCACGAGAGCGAATGTGCCGTGTTATGCTCAGTCTTGGCGTATTCCTTTTTTATATTTCATACAGTTTTTATTTTTATTTTATTTTATTATGGCATTTATCTCGACTGATGAATCTATTGTCCTTACATGATTTAGTTTCATATTTCATCTGGGATGGCTTTGCTAAAGGAAATACATAAAGCCTTATAGTTTTTCAATTTGTGTGTGTATATATATATATATATATATATATATATATATATATATATATATATATATATATATTTTTTTTTTTTTTTTTTTTTTTTTTTTTTTTTTTTTTTTTTTTTTCTTCATTCCCATAGTCACATGACCGTAGGGGCACTTTGCTGCGTTCACCTCCTTCTTCCACCTGTCCCGATCTTAGAAGTCTTTGGCGTGTGCATCATTGTGTTTCATAGGACAGTAACCTGGTGGCGTCCATCTCCTCTCCAGGTATGGATGGCC